TCACAACTAGACCAATAAGCAACATCATGATAAACAGAAAAAAGATCAAAGATGTCAAGGATTTCATTTTAGTTGGATCCACAATCAACACCCATGGAAGCAGCAGTCAGGAAATCAAACAATGTATTGCACTGGGCAGATCTGCTGCAAAGACCTCTTTAAAGTGTTAAAAAGCAAAGATGTCACTTGATGGACTAAGGTGTGCCTTACCCAAGCTATGGTGTTTTCAGTCACCTGGACAGTGAATAAGGAAGACCAAAGAAGAGTCGATGCTTTTGAATTATGGTATTGGTGAGTAATATTGAATATACCGTGGACTGCCAAAAGAATGAACAGATCTGTCTTGGAAGAAGTACAGCTAGAATGCTCTTTAGAAGCAAGGATGACGAGACTTAGTCTCACATACTTTGGACATGTTACATTATCAGGAGGGACCAGTTCCTGGAGAAGGATATCATGCTTGGTAAAGTAGAGGGTCAGCAAAAAAGAGGAAGACCCTTAAGGAGATAGATTAACACAGTGGCTGAAACAATGGTCTCAAGCATAGCGATTGTGAAGATGGCAAAGGACTGGACAGTGTTTCATTCTGTTGTACACAGGGTCACTATGAGTCGGAACCAACTTAATGGCATCTAACAACAACAACAGCATCTTATTTGTAGCCATTCAAGACCACCTGAGTATCTGTAAGCCTGCCTTATTGAGATTGTCGTCAGTCCCAAGAGTTCACTCTGGCTTATTATGTAGGTTGTGGCCCACCAACCGTCTGAAAAATCAACCCCAGAGTTAGTTTGACTTTTAAATCATAGTACTTTACAATTTGAGGGGCCTTAGGTGCTATGAGTCAGAATCGACTTGATGGCAATGAGTTTGGTTTTGGTTTTAGGTGCCATTTAATCTTAAAAATGTGAAAACTGCGGCTCAGAGAGGTCATGCAATTGCTCAAAGCCATGAAGCTGGTAAATGACAGAGCTAGGACTACAACCCTGCATTCAGGGAGGTGTATAAAATGGAAGACTGGTACTTTTTATATATTAGAATGGTCTACTCTTTTAGACTTGGGAAACAAGGGAAGCCTCTCTGCCCAAAAGTCAGGGAAATAGAATAAAAAATCCCTTAAGAATTAACACTTAACTTGATCATATGCTTAAACCCTGGGAAAGGAAATGTATCTGCTGTGTGTGCTTGACCTCAGTGTGTGTATGTATGTTTTTGTATAAACCTCTGGGATTCATTCAAACAGCCCTTGATTTTACTGCTTTTATTCCTCCCCATATTATAGGAAAGGACTATTACATAGGAATTTTCTGATTTTTTGATACAACATTTTGTCATTAAGACTTGAAATAGCTTTTCAAAGGCAGTAAAATTTAGAATACATTCCCCTTTAGGATTTTCTTTTCATCAAACTGGTGACAGACTCTTCATTCTGTTTGCTGTTGCAGTGGTTGCTGGGAGAATTTTGTCAAGTTAAATGACAGAGTAGGCATAGTGATAGAACTGATCATGCAGGAATTGGGAAGGGTTGATTTTTCTGATCACACTGTTGAAGAGAACCCAAAGACTGCTGATACAGTCCCATGATTAATGTATCTAAAAAGATAAATTCAGAGGACATTTTAAATGGTTGAGGAAAAGACATTGACACGACAGTGAGAACTGTTTTACTCAAGTGATTTATCTTGAATTTAGCCATGAATGAACAGATACAATGGGAGTATCCAGTTCAGTCTTGAAATTCAAATAAAAAGGAGAAGAGATAGTGATATGAGGTTAAACGAGTGTTTCATAACAATGCGGATTACACACAAGCTTGTATTATAAGAATTAGACATTCCCTAGTATCACCTAGGTCCTCCTGATTTTCTTCACAATGTGGAAGCCGGAACATCAGGAACGGGCAGCTATGTGGTCCCACTAGTGTGATATGAATGAACTTAGGCCTGAACTGAATACTCCTACCTTATTTTTCAAGTTCTATAAAATAAGGTGACAACCCTCATTTCTCAAAGGAGAAAGAACTTTTTCCTTAAAAACATTCTAAATTTCTACTGTGGGAAATTATTACCAGTACTATTGATTCTGCTACTTTGATAGTTCTCAAATTCATCTGCTTCTCTCAGTCTCCACCATCACTGTCTTTGTTGAGACTTTCATAATTTTTCATCACATCCTCCTGCCACCCATATTCTACGTTGCTGTTGAGTCATATGGTAATTCTATGTTTAACTTTTTGAGGACCTCCGCAGCAGCTACACCATTTTACAATCCCACTAGCAATGTATGAGGGTTCCAATTTCTCGACATCCTCGCCAACACTCAGTATTTTCCATTTCTGATAATAGCCATCCTAATAGATGTGAGGTAGTATCTCATTGTGGTTTGGCTTTGTATTTCCCTAATGACTAATGACCTTGAGCATCTTTTTATGTTCTTATTGGCCATTTATATATCTTCTTTGGGGAAATGTCTCTTCAAGTCCTTTGCTCATTTTTTAAATTGGATACTTTGTCATTTTGTTGTTGAGTTATAAAAATTCTGTATATAATCTGGATATCAAACCCTTATCAGATGTATGATTTGCAAATATTTTCTCCCATTCTGTTGGTTATCTCTTCACTTTCTTGATAAAGTACTTTGATGTACAAAAATTTTTCATTTTGATGAAGTGCAGTTTATCAATTTTTTCTTGTGTTGCTTGTACTTTTGATGTTTTATCTAAGACTCCATTGTCAAAAACAAGCTTTACCCCTGTATTTTCTTCTAAGAGTTTTATAGTTTTAGTTCTTGTATTTGGATTATTCATCCATTTTGAATTAATTTTTCTATATGGTGTGAGGAAGGGGTCCAACTTCATTCTTTCGCATGTGGAGATCCAGTTGTCCCAGCACCATTTATTTAAGAGACCACTTTGAGTTTTTGAGTCATTGTGTGAATGAATTAAAGATGTAATAGTAGATAGTCTTTCAGTTCTAAGAAGAGCAGTACTAGGTAAACACTAGATGGGGCCAGTAGTCTTAGTAATAGTATTCCATCACTACATCCTCAGACATGAATTGTGGCTTGATATATTTGAATGAAACCAGCCAGAGAATGGACAGTTTTTCCCTCTGGTGATGAGGATACTTCAGTAGGAGCTGGAGCTTGTGGGAGTCCCACCTGATGGGCTGCTAACCAATGGACAATTTGAAGTATAGTTTAATTTGCAAATGGTTTTGTTAGTTTAAATTAAGTTTTTCTTTTAAATTCTTCTGCTGTGACTCCAAAGAATATCCCTTCAACAACAGTATTGTAAGATACCAAAGTAATTCTCTAGGAATATAATAATATGTTTGAGATGTGTATACACACACAAAATCACAGACCCTCTATTACAGATTAATCCTTAGATGTGATGCTCTTTAATTTAATGTTCGATATCTTCTTTTCCCTCTCTGTTCATTGTCCTTAGTCTATAAGTAGTTATTCTTATTAGAAAATAGTGTTCTATGTTCCTTTCCATATTTTTCATGTATGAACCAGTAGCAATAAGCCACTGTGGCTTATTGATGAGAACAGAGAAGAAATTGTGTTAATCACATTTAGAAACGGGCAGCACTGACAGTTACTCTTCTTTGTTTTATAGAGATGAACGAAATCAGTCCATCATTGTAAGCGGAGAGTCTGGGGCAGGAAAAACAGTCTCAGCTAAGTATGCTATGCGATACTTTGCAACTGTAAGTGGCTCTACCAGTGAGGCTAATGTTGAGGAAAAAGTCTTGGCCTCCAACCCCATCATGGAGGTAAGACAGTAGGACCTTGGCCTTCTTACTGTAGTTTACTTCTTAGACTAGATTATGTCATATCATGTCATATATTCCTACTTTTCTTGTTAAGAAACATGCTTAAAAATGGATTGATACAGCACTGGTCAGAACGTCTGAGATCTTCTAGCCACCAAAATTAGGAAAATACTTTTCCCCATCTTGGTAAGAGATCTAAGAAAAGTGAAAATTCAGTAACGTAGACATTTTGAGTAAACCCCAGGTATAAGAGGAATCTGCTTTAGTCCATAATCTTGCCTTTTTTTTTTTTTTTTTAACCTACCACTGAATTGTTGCCTCTACATAGAAGGCAGCAGTACTTCATTTTCAAAAGTTTCTTTTCTCCTAGTTAATTAACTCACTTCTGTTGCTCCTTGTACCAGAAGTACAAGGTACTCATTTCCCTACAGTCCAGAGTTCTTACTTATGCTCCTTCTAAAATAGGAGCTATGCTCAAGCATGAATTGAATTTCATTATTCCTTTATTCACGTTTCATTTTCTGTACTCAGTCTAACCTGTTTAGCTATAAATTTTTATTTTTTCCAGATTTAAACTATAAACTTAATCATGATCTCAACCTCACCAAGGTCCATAAACGTTTTTCTTTTTCTTTCTGTAGAGCACATCACACAGATTTACGTTAGAAAAGGTAATTCAATAATAGTAAATTCATGTGAGAGAAAGTTATACAAGGTAGAAATGCTTATGCCAGAGGAAATGGAGCTAGTTGTGTGACTGAGAATTTGAGTATGTTAAGGTTTGCAACTAGAAGACTGTTTACCTATTAATAGGATTTTAGGAAAGTTACAGTTTTGTAAGAAGTTCCATTAAATGAAGAGAAGTAAGCCTTATTAAATGGAGAGAAATTGCTTTGAGCATGCAGACACAAACCTTTCTTGTTGAAAATTTAAATCAGCAATTTTATTGCTGTTTTTTTCCTTTGTCAAGCCTTATTTGTCACCCAAACACAGATGGAGTTAGAACTGGCCTGGTGCAGCTGTTGTACAAGTGGGTTTTGCAGTTATCTGTCCAGAGGTAATTGTGCCTGGTTTGCGGTGCTGTGTGTGATACTTCAAAACAGAATGCTGTGACCCGTTGCCTACAGGAGTGCTCCAAAGCAGCAGGCCTTCTGCTCTTGGGGTTGAAAGTCCAGATGTGCTGGGAAGGTTGAGAGGCCTCCTGGGCTGGGCCCTTTATGGAAAGAGAACTGAAAAGTTTTCAAAATAGCATGGACAGGAAACAAATGCTTGTGCCAAAAGAGAGTGGTGAAGGTTTTAAGCAAATAGTAAGATTTTGAAAGAATTTGAGCTGCAGATATAGTGGTATGTGTCACTGTTGTTAATATTAGGGGAATATAGTCTGTGGAGCCAGTTTTTTGTTTGGGTTAGAAAACAGCAGCACATTGCTTCCTATCATTGTTTTGACTGTTTTTGGTCATGACAACAAATTCTTGGTTTTTGGCAACAGTTCATGCCATTCTGGTCCGTAATGTTAAAATATACCAAAGTCTTGATTGTGATAGTATCAGACAATCTCAGATATAGGCCTGAACAAGAGTTTGAAGCTGTCTTGAGGATAACTTAAGTCTGGAATGAACAGTTGTATGACCATGCTTCATTCCCTTTCAAAAACAGCTACAGATTTTTCTGTAGCACAGATTTGAGTCATGTTAGTAGGAATGTTACTACTTCTTAGTTTGCACTTATAAGGAATTTTCCCTGTTTGCTAGATTAAAAAAAATAAAGAATCAGTTAGTTATGCTTAGTAACTGAAAGATTAAAATGGCATATGGGGCTGAAGAATGGTGACAGGGGTTACAGTTACAGGAAAAAAATAGATAAAATATTGAGCATGTGAGCCTAGAAAATGTTTGTAGCTTTAAATCTACCTCAAACCTCTGTCAGAGCCCTTCACTGTGATATCAAGAATCAAGGAATATCCAGCCTCCAGTGATCTGCTGAAGCTCCTAATTGGATAATGAGCGTTTTTAACATCACAGCCCAGTGACTAAGGGGATTTGCATATTATCCTGTAGAAGGCAAGCTCCTCATCCTCAGAATAGGCTCCTTTTGCAAAGTATGAATGATGTACAGAGAAATGATTCTTGCTATTCTAATTTTTGACATGTTTTGTTTTTCTCCTGGAAATTTTCATCCTAAGATAGGTGCAGGGAAGATTCTTGGGACCAGTTGGGTCTTAATAGTTCCTTTTCACCTTCAGTAACTGTAGTTAAAGATTTTCATCTCCATTTAGTCAAAGAGAGTAACTCACTCCGTGTTTCACTAAAATCAGTAGTAAAACTGAGATCATAAAATTTCTCCTTTCCTTTAGCAATTTCTTGTTAATTGAATGGAAAATAGTATTAAGGAAGGCTGTTGTGACTACGGTATTTATAGGGCTGAATGAGCAATTGAGGGGGTATGAACATAAGATACTGTTTATATAGAGAACCTTTTTTTCCATATCAGGTTTAGGGCTCACAAGCATATGATTTCATTTTTTGAAAAGGACCCTGGAGTTCATCTATCCCAGTCAGTTTACCCTGGGAACACTACAAGTTCTCAGAGAGATTAAATCATGGCAAGTTGGTCGTTGGGCCTGTTCTGACACCCAGATCTTCAGACTTCTATTTCATTTGTTCCTTCTGTCACTCTGTTTATGTTTAAATAAATACATTTCACTCAGAGATAAAAGAAAGCCTGCTTCAATCTTTGCCTACTCACTGCATCTTCTCGCAGGGGGAAGTGTGACTTTGGCAGATTGGCCACACTGACTCCACGCTGAGTAGATGTGGGGAGATGACATGTGGAAGGTGGGATAAGAGGTGAGGAGGGAGGACACGCTGTTCCCAGCTTCTCCACCTTGCTCAGTTACTGACAGGAAGACACTGAGAATGGTGCCTACCAAGCTCTCAGTGTGTACTACAGCTGCTGTTACTTCTGTATTTAACACTTCCTCTGGTCTTTGGCACAGAATATTATGTTGAGAAAAATTCTGCACTTTTTGTTAATTTACTTTTCTAAACAGAAGAAAAATTGTGGGAACATATGTAGACTTTTTCTTTCCTTTTTGGTAATATCAAGAAGGGAACATCTACGTAAACGTCTGAATAGTTAAATTATCTCAGGCTACATTAGATCATTCTGTAATTTTGCTGGGAAGACAGTTTCTAGTCGTTCTTTTCTATAAAATCATTTAATTAAAAAAAAAAAAACTTTAGGTAAAGAAAAACATTTAAAATGTTAATCTGAAATGTAACAGTCTCCTCAGTGCCAAAACAAAATAGAATAATTCCTGCCCTCTTTCAGAGAGTGAAAATGTATTTTCTTTGATTGATCAGAGAACTGAATGTGTTGACCTTTGTGGCTGCATTACCACTGTTTTCATCACTTATATTTGTATCATCTTTTTAACACTCCAGAGCATTTTCACATCCTTCTCTCTTGCCGTTTTGATATACTAATCCTGATAGTCACAGGCTTTGCACAATTGAAAGATTTTAATCTTCTATGAAATTAACTTATTAAACATTGAATATATACATTGTGAACAGTTACTTTTCTAACTGCACCTTTTTTTGCTTTGCCTTCAAAGAAAAATTTATGAAAGCATGTTACCAAAGTCAGAAAGCTGTACATATATCATTTTAATTTTTAGGTTTATATAAAAAATTTAGCAGTAAGTTACATTCTCTGCATTCTGTAGCAGATGTTTTGCAATTTAGATCCAACTGTCAAAATTCAAAGGCAGATTTTACTGTCTCTGGTTTCTAAAACTGGCATTTGATCTGAGTAGGCAATACTAATACCCTGCTAATAGGCAGTCCAACTGGGCCAGTGAGAAAATGGTGGCACAGGGACGTCTGACCTCCTTAAACTTCATGGAGACAGAATCACCATCATCATCAACCCGAGGCTGATGGCTGTGAGATGGAGGTCAGACATACCTCTACCCTCCAAACTTTTTACCAGTTCTGACACCAGCCGCCCCTCCCACAGCACTCTCTACTTCTCTGCTGTGTTTGATAATTCATTGCAGTGGCCACACAGAACTCACAGACTGTACTCATGATTATGGAGCTTATAAGGGAAGTAACAGGTTACAATTCAGGATCAGGAACAACTCAGGATACAGTTCTTCAGTCTGTTCTTAGCCATGCCTGCAGGCAGGCCCTATCTGGCCCTCGGCTCCTGGGCCTGGCCTCAGCCCTGCTCGGGCAAGTGTTACAAAGTTCTTTAGCTCCACCAATAAATGCCCAAAGGCAGCCCATTCCACCAGTAAGCCTCAGACTGAAGGTGCTCAGCTCTCTCACTCTGTGGTTCGGTGAGCCTAGCTCTGCCAACAAGTGCTTGGAGGCACACTACTCCTTCAGCAAGCCTTCTGTCCGATGGGGCTGAGCTCTCTTGCTCTGTGGGTCAGCACACCCACTGTCACCATCTCGCTCATGAGCTGGGAAGCCCACCATTTGTTCCCCTGGTTCTGCTGCTGCCATTTTTCTGCTGTGCTGGTTGCTGCTTATCACCATCCTGTGCTGTCTCTAGTGTTAACAGCTCTCTGTCTCCTGGGTCTAGGAGGTTCTCAGCACAGGCATCCCAGGTCCAAACGATGCGCTCCATTCCCAGCCTTTCTTTGTGGTGATAGTGAGGTCCCCTTTCTGCTCTGGGATTGGCTCTCTTTTAAGCCTAGCAGAATGGCAAAACTGACCAATCCCCTTGTTAGGGTTCATACACCTTATTTGCATGTCCCCCCCCCAGGAGCTCCATGCACCTCATTTGCATTGTTAGCAAGGTGTCCAATCCCCTTGGTGGGCCACAAGCACCTTATTTGCATAGTTCCATCCATTCACTGTGCGGGAGCTACAAGACCATGCATGGCTAAAACAGCCATGTTAAGTAATTCACTGCACTGCAGCCAGTGTTTCCCCATGATAGGATGATGGAATGGAACCTTCTGGCTAAAGAGACCCTGAACATCAGACCAGTATTTCCAGAAAAATGTTAATTTGTCTTAACTAGTTTATTTACCAAGAACTGACCAAGTTTTTCAAGAAATCAGAACCCTGCTGTTAACCAAGAGAGATCACACCTTGACAGTTCCTAACCCTGTGCATTCTCTTTCTTTGCCGGCACAAATGAGCATATGTTCGCATGCCCCAAATGGTATATGAAAATCTCCCAACGGCTAGGCTCAGGTCTCCTGTGTCTGAAAGCCATTTTTGTGAGAACAACAAAGCAGGTAAGAACTGTTAACATGGATCTGTTATGTGGGCAAAGCATACGCCTGCGCCTAGAGGGACTTAATTGGTTCCGTTCTTACAGGCATCAGTTTCAAAAGGTTTTCTTCTACTCTGTCCTTTCTCTTTCTGAACAAATTCTGTAAATGTCATGACATGAATTGCACTTCTGAAATCTTGTTTTCTCTCTTGCCTCTTAGTCGATTGGAAATGCCAAAACAACCAGGAATGATAATAGCAGTCGTTTTGGGAAGTATATTGAGATTGGTTTTGATAAGAGATATCGAATCATTGGTGCCAATATGAGAACTTACCTCTTAGAGAAATCCAGAGTGGTGTTCCAGGTAAGACAGGCATATATACATATGTACTTGTGTTACACTGACATACCATCACATGTCGCTGGTATGCATTTTATTTCCAAATACTCTTGAACGTATTGACAACATTGCTACAAAACACACTTGAACTGATTAATGTAAAATGGTGCTTGTACGAGACAGAGGAATACCTCTTAGATTAATATCTTTGGCACTGGGTACTTACTAGGTTTAATGGCTTTGACTTTTACCTATAGATGCTTCTAGGAAAAGCTTAGTTAAGAAGAGGTGCTTTGATAGAAAAGGCATTGATTGGTCTATGCCTTCAAGGAGTTACCGTTTGAACGTAGTTCAAGAAAAAAATTATCCTTGTCCTCTTTCCTTTCTCCTCTTCTTTTAGAATATAATATTGTTTCGATGGAACAGTGAGGATAAAAAAAAAAATCTTCACAACCCAGTTGTGAACTACTATCCAAGAATACGCTCAGTCGAGAAACATCTTTCTGGTGCATCTGTGTAGGATTTGCATTCACACGTATGCTCTTGGTCATTTTTTATCTGAAAATATAAAATACTGTACAACAGTGGCAGGCATACATTAACGTATTTACAAGTAAACTAAAGTTTAATTGTAAATACATGTTAGGAAATTTAGAAAAGGACAATTTATTTCACCAACTCAAATCATTAAATATTAAAAATTTATTTTATTATTTAATTTTCTGCATTTTAGATTAAAATGCTGTAATTAGAAACTCTTTTCTTATTTCAAAGGCAGAAGAGGAGAGAAACTATCATATCTTCTATCAGCTTTGTGCCTCAGCAAAGTCACCTGAATTTAAAATGCTGCAATTAGGTATGGCATTAGATATGTTGTGCTGATATTGTTTTCTGTTAATTTCTGAGTTCATAAACTTATTTGTTAAAAAATGAGCTTATTTCATACTGAAATATTTATGGATGAAATGAGAAGTCTGCTACTGGTTACAAAATAACCCACAGGCGGTGTGGAGGAGTAAGGGAGTGGCTGTATGAATGGAACAAAGCTGATTTTGAGTTGATACTTGTTTCAGATCGGTGATGGATACATAGGGGATTGTTATACTAGTCTGTCTTATACGTGTTTGAAATTTTCCTTAAGTAAAAGAGAAAAAATTTAAAGGACTTTATCTGATGGAGATCTGTAGGGTTCCTGATGAGGGGGTAAAGTGTTTGAGGAGATTATTCTAGCATGTAGATTGGAATAACCTTTAGGAAAGGAGTATTCATTTCACCAATTAAGATAAATATTTTATTTCATTATTTAATATTGGGTTTTGTATTAAAACACTGTAACTGAAATCATAGGCAGCCCAACTCGAGACCCTGTGGCTTAACTGTGCTGTCACTGCCTCTAACTCAGAGTGGACATAAGGGTAAATGTTCAGGCTTTTTCATGGACTGCAGAACTTTTACTTCCCTTAATTGCAGGGGATGCAAATTTCTTCCATTACACAAAGCAAGGAGGCAGTCCTGTGATTGAAGGAGTTGATGATGCCAAGGAGATGGCCCACACCAGGCAGGCCTGCACTTTGCTAGGTAATTTAATGTATTCTTCAGCTCTTATGAGCAATAGCTTTATGACTCAAGCAGCCTTTGTTTGGAATTTTGGCTTGGCTTCATATTAATTGGTGAGTATTATTGGTAGATTTAACATTCCTTAAAAAACACTTTGGAATTGCAGATGGCATGAGGTATCTTTTTGGAGTTGATGAAACTGTTCTAAAATTAGATGTGAGAATGAATGTTCAACTGTAAATTTACTAAAAATCATTGACTTGCACATTTAAAATGGGTGAAATTTATGGTATGTAAATTATACCTCAGTAAAGCTGTCTTAAAAAAAAAAGGTGTTCAAAGCAGTAGGGGAAGCAGGACTAACTGTGGTCTTTTGCTTACATTTTTACACACTCTAAAGCCTGGAACTAAATGAAATGGATTCCATTAAGGTGTAAGTTTTGAGGGCATAATTTTGATTTTGTTTTTTT